GATAGTAATACGGCAGCCATGTTGAAGCTTTTATCACGCCTTGTTTTGCAGATTGGAAAGAGCAGTCACATCTGCCCTTCATTGGAGCACTATAATACAGACATTTATATTACAACAAACATGATCAGATCTCAGAATCTGAATGAAAGCCAGAAAGAGATTGTATTAAGTACTGTCGCAATCAGGAAATGTCATCACAATCACCCTATCAAACTTGTATGGGGCCCTCCGGGGACTGGCAAAACTAAGACAGTTGCATCCTTGCTGTTTGCACTGCTCAAGCTGAAAACCAGAACATTAACATGTGCTCCAACCAATACTGCTGTGTTGGAAGTGGCGGCCCGCCTGTGTGGTATAGTTAAAGATCAACTTCAGTTTGATGCCTATGGGCTGGGTGACATAGTGCTTTTTGGGAATAATTCTCGAATGAAAGTTGATGATTACTGGGGTCTCCCTGACATTTTTCTTGATTATCGTGTTGATATGCTTGAGCACTGTCTTTCTCCACTGACTGGATGGAAGCGCAACTTGGAATCAATGATCAGTTTGCTTGAGAACCCTCGTGAGCACTATCTTCTATTTAATCTCAATGCGGAACATGAGGAGGATAATGATCTTATGTCACTAGAAGAATTTGCTAAGCTTAATTACAACAATGTAGAGCAAGCTTATCTTTCATACAAGCATCTTGAAGATAAAGGCGATCATGTGACATTGGAGCAATTTGTCAAGATGAGATACAGTTACATTAATGACCAATACCTTTCTTTTGTAGATGAAGTTCATTTCATAAAGAGGAGGTTCAGTTTCATATGTGTGAACCTCAAGTCCGACTTGCAAACATTATACTCACAACTACCAACTTCCCTTGTTCCATTTGAGGTGGCGCAGAACATATGCGCAGCTCTTAATTTGCTTGAAGACCTTGGAAATTCATTACACCAAAACGAGTTCATAGAAATTCCGACAAAAAATGTAGAGGAAAAAAGTAATGTTATTCAACCACAAGTTCCAAATGTGAAAGGAGAGAAATGGGGTTTATTTGCCATCTGCACTGGGATAATCCAAATATCTCTTAAGCCCATCATACGTTGGCTTGATCCTGTGGAAACACATATCCCAACAAAAGATGTTGCATTTTGCTTTGGAAAGTTAAGCATTAAAAGAGATGAGTGCCTTAGCATACTTAGATCACTTTCTCAGTCAATTTCACTTCCTCAACTTGAAAGACGCTCTCAAATAATGGATATTTGCTTGAAGAAGGCATGCCTAATATTTTGTACGGCATCAGGTTCTACCAAATTGTTCACTGAAGGAATGACACCTATACCCTTTATAGTTATAGATGAGGCTGCTCAACTCACAGAATGTGAATCAACCATACCTCTGCAACTGCCAGGTGCAAGACATGCTGTTCTCATAGGTGATGAGAGGCAACTTCCTGCAATGGTCATGAGCAAGGTAATGAGTTGTCATTATGTCTTGTTAGAGGTTATGATGAAATCTTCATGGTTATTCTCCTGACAACTTATAACTTTAAATTCAAATTGTTATGGATGAGATACTAGTGCTTGTATGAAAAAGAGGTTTGAATTTTGATCCTTGCTATCCCTTTTTCTTAATTTCAAATTAAGTTTTAGTACAAGCTAAGGTGGGTTTTTAGTTTCTCCATTCTATTAACGCATTGTGTTTTAACGTATGAGGAGGTGTTATAAAAAAAACTATTGATAATCCTTCATTAAATAGCTTAGATTTTGTATTGATCAGTTTTTAACATTAATTTGTGGTCTGTGTTGGTGGATATTACCAAAGATCACTATCTTGTATGTTTATGAAAAATAAATTTCAGATTTCTGATGAAGCTGGATTTGGAAGAAGCATGTTTGAGAGGCTGGTGTTGCTGGGATTCATGAAGCATATGCTTTATATCCAATTTAGAATGCATCCATCCATAAGTGTATTCCCCAATAGGGAATTCTACGAAGGGCAACTTGTGGATGGCATGAATGTCAGAGATTCAAGCTACAGTGCATGTTTCCTTGAAGGAAAAATGTACAGCTCCTATTCTTTTATAAACATAGCTCAGGGCCAAGAGCATTTGGTCATGGACACAGCTTGAAGAACATGGTGGAAGTTGCTGCTATCTCTGAGATTATAAAAGGCCTGCACAAAGGTGTGTGTGTTTCTTGCTAATTCTTTGTTGATACTTACTTAGTAATTGCTTGGGCACAATCTAGTTGAGAAGAACCCTTTGAATATATGAATGATTTGTTATGAACACAAGTCTAAAAGAAAATCCCATCTCAAAAGATTAGCTTATTGGGTGGGAGATCTCCTTAAATTGATAAACCGTATTTCACTTTTGAGACTCCTCAATATGGAACTCAGAACATGATCCCTTGTGTTTTTCTGCTACAGAGTTCCTGAGCAAGAGAAGGAAACTCAGCATAGGTGTGATGTCTCCATATAAAGCTCAAGTCCATGAAATCCAAGAGAAAGTTAAGCAGTACATGGAGTCAGATCCTAGCTTTTCTGTGAGTGTTCGTTCTGTTGATGGCTTTCAAGGCGGTGAAGAAGATATAATAATGATCTCCACTGTTAGATCAAATGGGAGGGAAATGTGGGGTTCCTTTCTAATAGACAAAGAGCAAACGTGGCTCTAACTCGTGCTAGGTATGTTACTTGTTGTGACCAAAATAGCATATATATTATGCTTGAGAAATTCTTAGATAAACTCATATCTATAAATGTAATAGGTAAAGTCGTTCGTGAGCACAAGGTTGTTTATACATAAACTTCATCTCAAGCTACATAAATTTTCCTGCGAAAAATGGGCAAAAGTCTCCCATTGAAAATTTATTGGGAGGACCTAAATAAGAGTAATGGCATTCTGTGTACAAAATTTATAGAGTATTCGTATTTTCTGTGTTATAAAAATTTATCAGGTTTTTCTCATCAATAAAAATTTTTAATGGGGAACTTTTCCTCAATTTTCCCAATCTTCTATCCTTGGAAACTTATCTTACTCTAGATATGCCTTCTAGCTGATCTAGCAATGAAAATCTCTCAACTAAGGCAGAAAATCAAGGCTTGAGAAGTTCCACTAATGTTGAGTTGATTAGATTTTTATTTTTTGGGGCAGACGTTGTCTTTGGATATTGGGGAATGCAGAAACTCTAGAAAAAAGTGGCTCAATATGGAGAAAGGTAGTGAATGATGCTAAGCAAAGAGGATGCTTTCATAATGCTAATGATGACAAAGTTCTGCTCAGGCCTTTGAAGATCCCTTTACTTGACGTGACCTAGCTGACAACATCAAAACATTTGAATCGCTCAGTATATGTGCTATAAGGCTCTCAAACAAAATGGATATGTTATGATTGGGAATACCAGAGGTTCATCCAGTGGCAGTTCGAAGAAAAGAATGAAGGTGAAATGCCTTGTGTTTGTAATACAGTAAGGTTATTTGTCTGAGGTTGGGCTTGCTTAGCATGCCCAAAGCTACAATATGAAGCAAAGCAGCATGCTTTATTATGGGAGGATTACTATAAGATCCAAAACAAAGAATGTGATTACTAAAAAGTTCTGCAACAATTGGGCATGTAACGACTTTGGTATAGGAGAGGAAGTTCGTACTACTCAAGCTTTTTGATAATTACATTAGTACTTTATAGGGAGTTCATAATAATTCTCCTTGTTATTACATAAAGTCATTTGATATGGGAAAAAGAGAGCTTATATCATTTAATTGAAACAATAGTATATACACAAAACGCTATTAAATGGAAATTAAAATACAAAGTAATTAACTTAATATACTATTACACGAGTCGTTGATTGTTGAGCTTATAGCTTTTACATTTAATATATACCACTACCTCCGGTCCTAATTAAAAAAGCTAGTTGATTAATTTGAGGAATTAAGAAAGAAGTTTAAGTTAGTTATTTGTAATAAATATGTGTTGTCTTTGAATGCAAAAATGTACATAAACTTGTCAAAAGGGGACAAAAATAACAACACCGTTAATTTGGGGTAAATATCCCTTAGTGAGGTCCGTGAAGTTAGTTTTAAGGTACAATTTTTAACAACAAAATTAACACTAATAGGGCACTGGGTGCCATAAAAGTTTTTTGAATGCAAAAATATATATGAACTTATCAAAAGAAGACAAAATAATAACATCATTAATTCAGGAGTAAATATCCATTAATAAGGTCTATAAGTTAGTTTTTAAAAATTAACACTAATAAGCACTAAGCATTATAAAGTTTTCTTGAATGTAAAATACATAAACTTTTTAAAGGGAAAAAAATAACAAAACTCATCAACTCTTAAAAATGTCCGTTAAACTTTATTTTTTTTGGATCCCATCAAATGCCACCGTTTCCCTTCACCCAGGAAGCTGAGGTGGTGATGAAAAGAATCAAGGAAAATGATTTATATAGAGACATTTGACATCATCATAGGACTGCAAAATTCTCTCTAAAAATTTTAATTTTCATATTTTTCTTATAATAGTCACATTATATACACGTGTATTTAACGAAACTTGTCTTTTTTCCAACCATTTTCCATCTAAACCTAGTTTAAGTTTTGGCTAATCAAATTGATCTTTTTTCTTTTTTAAAAAATTCATCCAAATATAAATTACATTTAACTAAATTTTATCTCAACTGAACTACAGTTTGTTCAGGCCCAAAAAAAAAAACTTCAGTTTGTAAAAAATAATTACAAATAAAAGTCATTTTTTGTACTGCCGTATGGTTGTGTTGGTTGCAGCAGTTGGATTGCTTCCTATGCTTGTTTGCTCCAGGCAACATAAAAAGCTAACATAGGTTAAATTGGGAAAAAAACCATTCCTGACCTGTCAGGTCCTTGTATCAAATTATAACACCATTTCACCCCAAAATAAAAAATTTTATAAGATCAAAATTGGTTTTTCGACTTCATCATTTTAAGATCAATTTCTTGACTAAATTATTATCACGAAGAAGAAAATATTATTGAAAAATTTAGACCAGTCACTAATCCTAGAAAATAACTGATAAATCAGTAGCCTTAAGACGGAGAAGCTTGAGAGCTATATAAGATAGATTCCGGAGGAAGGTAAGTTACTGTCATCGTAATTTTTTCAACAAGAGAAACAATGCAGCTACATGAATCTGAGCTCAACAACATAAGACATTTGCAAACCAGAGTTCTTTCTCCATTACCATCTCCATGTTTAATCTAAGCATGCTTCTTGACATGTGACAGATTTATCACAGTACACGCCCTGCTGAAACCTAAGAGCTTTACAAGTCACAGCAGTTATAAGGCCGAGATGAACTTCTGAATTTTTGCCTGAGCTCGTTCCTTCTCTTCTGGTCCATCAAGATCACCAATATTGTCGTGATATTCCTGAAAATGAGAAAGAACCCATTTCAATAAGCTTGGAGACTTCATCACATCTTTAATATTAGTCTTAACTATCTGACTATGTTATAGTCATGTATGGAGTCATTGTATTCAAGCACAATAGATATCCAAGTATTCCCAGTTCACAGATATTAAGGGCCAATTTGCTTTTTAAAATTACAAAAAAAAAAAAGTAATTTTAGTTAAGTTTAATACTTGATCACTGGGAGAACATTAAGATAATCACGAAGGTTTTGTTCCAAAAAATAAGCTTTTTCCAATACATCCCTTCTATATTTAGCCTATGTTCTCCCAATAACCTCTCCATACTCCCGTCATTTGAAGTCTTGGCTTGATGGTGATAACAATGTCGTTGCACCCATCAAGTCTCGATTTCAAAACGACACTCTGTTGGACCAAACTTCACCATACTCCCAACAGCGTTTTCTCATTTAACCTAACAAAAATCACCTTTAACCTTAACCAATTGGCCCTAAAAGTGGACAAACAATAAAAACAAAAATAAAAGGCGAGGAATTTTAATATAAGAGAAGTTAAACTGGAGCACAACATTCTTTTCCTCCAAGAATGAACAAACTTGCAGGCATCATAACTCAAAAGTAACTTTTTTCCTGCGGTGTGGAGGGTAACTCCCAATTTCCAAAATCATGAAATAAGTTGGCATTATGTAAATTTGCATAATCGTACGTTTTGTATATTTTGCACACTGTACAGAGACAAAAGAAGCATCAAAAGCATTATTTCAAAAGAAAAGCAAATTCTTATACCTGAAGTATATCCTTTATATCATTTTTACCCAGTCTGTTCTGCTTGAGAAGTAGTTCAATTCTCGATCTCATTTGTGGATGTCTGCACAGGAAGCACATATTTGGAACAAGTCAGAAATAACTCTGCATATCAACGCTCTTTAAAATCAAGGGACAAAATACATTTTACCCCCAAACTGAGGCCCAACTACAGCTGTAGCACATGAATTTATAAAACACAGTTTTACAAACCCCACCCCACCCCCTGTTTTGCCCCCTTTAAAAAAAAATGAAAAAAAATAAAAATCCTGAAAACGCCAACTTTCAGTCTCTGTTCATCTGGGTGCGTCCCCCCCCCCCCAAAAAAAAAAAACCAGGGTGATCTGTAGCCTCTTAAATTTGACGCAGCAAAGTAGCAACTAGGCCTCAGTTGTCTAATGTGTTTTTCTATAAAATTAATGTTTACATATATAAATGGAAATACTTACTCAGAGCACCAAAGATGACCAAGAATGACTGCAATCAACTGCAAGATCACATAAGAAAAAAGTCAACACAAAAAAGCTAATGAAAATTGGATATCTATACATCTATAGATTGCGCTATTACAAATGTCATTGGTGTTGACACAGATTTTCCCAAAAAGCAATTAGAATTGAATAGAAACTAATGCATGTAACATGCATTTTTGTAAATAATTATAGATTATAAACTCGTTGAAGTAGAGGGAACAAATTAGAACTTGCTTGCCATGTAACCAAAAGGGAACATAATTTCTGCCATTTTAATTATGAGTGAATTTATTAAGGAACCAAAAATACCGTCACTATTCACAAATTCAGGACAAAAAAAAAAAAATCTTTAAGTAATAACAGGCTATAATTCGTTGCCCTGCAACCATTAGTTCATACAAAATGTACTGACATTAATGGTGAAGCTAAATGATTTTTTTGGTCAAATGGTGAAGCTAAATGATTAACCATGCTGAAATTCTAACCTGAAGAGTATAAAGTCCAGATTCTAGTTTACGGTTGTATTTCTCATCTTCATCCATCTGTAAAAACATAGGAAGAAATATTATATTTTGGGTAAAACTTTTAGTTCAAAAGAGCAAGCAGGAGCCAAGTAATTATGTATTATGTATAATACCTCAAAGTCATCAAGTTGAATCTGTTCCATTCGTTCAGTTTCTGCTTTGACTCTATCAGAATATCTGAAGAGATACCAAGAGATCTCATTAAGCTTTTTAACTACGAAACTTCAAACAAATCAATGAATTTAAATAATCATAAACTCTAGAAAGAGAAGAGGATGAGCTGACCTACCTCATGTATAGTTCCATCAGCCTGTCTATCTTCTCACATTCATTTTCAACAAATTTACTTAATAATCTCTCTCTTCTAGAACCTCTTAAAATTCCACCTGCAAAGATACATCGGTCATTCAAATTCTGTGCCACAAAAAAAGAGGAAAGAATAAAAAATAATTCATGGCCTAAAATGCAGAGTTTATTAACTACCCCAGATTTGAAAAAAAACAAAGAAAAGAAAGAAACTGATCCGATATTCTTTTTTCAGTAAAACCAACGTGATATTATTCAATATAGTGTACATAATTGAGTTGTATGCTCAGGAAATCACCGTGCACCCTCACATTCATTTTTCTGTTCAGTTTCCCCCTTTTCTTTCATATGAAGTCAACTGATATAGGGCAACTTTAGGATCCTAGCTTGATCAAGAGGCTGTTGATGCCAATGGTCAATTAGATATCCCCCTCCCATTAGAATATATATCAAAGGGGAAAAAAACGAAACAAATAAGAAAAGGTCCCATGTTGCACCATACTAACATTTCAGATAGCTAATTGAATTACCACGTTCCAATGGGCACAATGACACAATACACCCACTTTGCTTCTATCATTTATATTCATAAACAGATGACAACAACAAGATTTGGGGGCAAATGCCCGAATGCCAACCAAGGGCATAACACTAAATGATTGCAAATCACCAAAAAGAATTCAGCACGGAGCACTAATAAATAAACAAAACAAGGGAAATCAAATAAGAGGAATATTTTAGAGACCAAAACATTGCATGTTAAGCACGTATAGAAACAATAAAATAACAACCATTATATATAGGCACTTCAAGTGGCCAATTCAATAAAATTAGAAAGAGAGGAATCTCTGCTGTGAAATTCAAACATAAAATTGTTGTGGGTTTCGTCCCATGTAAATGATTATAAGTGGTGGCAGCGATATTATAGAATTATAAGAAATGTTCTAAATCAAAGAAAACATAACGTTTCTAGAGAACTTTTATAAGCCAAAGTTATGGGGACCATAAGCTCCTTGATGGGGTATCAAAGACTTCAGGATTTCAATCCTTGCCAGGCTGATTTTCTCAATGAACGCTTATTTTCAATATGAGATAAAGGACACTTGTGCTTAACAATGGCAGCGTGTGCTATAGATACAGATATGATAAAAA